TTCGAGCCGCTCTCAATCTCGGCTTGGCCGTCATCCGATCTTCGCCTGGACAGAAACATATCACGCCCATCCCCTGGCCCCTTTCCATGTCGTCATTGCTGGCAACACTAGAATAGGTAGCCATCCCAGGGACGCGTCTCAATCTCCCAATATCCCAGAGCCCATCTGTGAGGGCAGAGGCCAACCATGCATCCCATCAACGACCATCTTCCTAGAGCCCAGTAATGTCAATCGTCACGTTGGCCGTATGTCTCTCGGTTATTCGTTTATTAACAGAAACTCAGTACCAAAAATGTTCGCCAGCTTATGCACATTAAAAACACTTCATAATGCCCTCTTCATAACCCCATGTCCATGTCTTCCCTGGCGTATTCATGCATGTGGTAATTCCTCCGTCATCCCCACCATCTTTGAAATCAATCCCATATTCTGGCATGAATATTTCTGCTTCCGCTCATGCAGCGGTACCTGTTGGCTTTGTAGGGGCTCATGGTATCGGATTGGGTATCGGATTGCTCGGGATACTTGTGGGCAGCGGCCTGAGGTCATACCTTGTTCTTAGACCCCCATAACCTTGGCAGTAAATAATCTGGGACCGCTCGGTAGTCCGGTGGCCTGAGGCTCAGGTGCGAAACTAGCCGGGCGAGCCGCAGTAACGAGTGTCGTGATGGGCGTTGGCCCTTGGTTCTCAGAGCCGTTTGCGTCATACATACCCCTGGCTTGTTTCTCGCCAGACGTACCGCCGTACGAGCCCGCTTCATTCGTGTCCGCTGGTCGGTTGACCGCCGTGCCATCTTTGCTGTAGACCGTAAGAGCCCAAGATCCGCCACAGAGCTCGGTCGGGTTGCCGTCGCAGACCATGCGACACTGCATATCAGGAAGGCGCTTGGCGTTTTGGAACACGTTACCACACCAGCACTCCCGATGATACTCAGTACCGGCGAGTTTGAAGCCTTTCGAGTCGCAGTATGCAACGCACTTTTCATTGGACATGTTGCCTGCGTAGTAGTCTCTTGGGTCGCAGTCCAGCGTTCGCTGCGGATTGTCGTTGAAGCAGCCGAGGTATGACCATCCGCCTGCGATTGGGGCTACTCTGGCAGCGATGCCATCGTCTCCTTCGCCGACATCATCATCAGGCGGTACAGCTCCATTGCTGTTGTCTGATGAGACTCCATACGGAGCTGGACGACTGCCCGGGGAATTGCCCGCCGGACATCCCACCCCCGTGCAATCTCCGTTGCTGTTGTCAGTTCCAGTGCTTTGACCGCTTTCTGGGTAGTTTGAAGGGCATCCAACTCCTGTGCATGCACCTTCGCCACCTGGATTTCCTGGGGTGCTGGTAAGTGGAGAACAGGTTGACCCTGAGCACATGGGAGGAGCGTGATCTTGTTCGCCAGCACCATTGTTATTGTATGGTCCGTCCACAGTACTTGCGTTATCATTGCCGCCCGATCCCCCGTTCGGATTGCTGCCAGGACTGCCATTCGATCCGCTGTCAGGACCGTTTCCGGCGCCGCCGCCGTTTCCAATATTCGATCCAGAAATTGGATCATTTATGGGCGATTGAGGGACCGCAACAGTCGTCGTAATGACCATTGGAAGGGTTGAAGCACATGTGGGTGGAATAGGGGTTGGACCCGGTGCGCAATACCATCCACCATCGCAATGATAGCATGGCCATCCCCATCCACAAGGGCCTTTTTGCATTGGTGTTTCTTTCGGGGGACAGAACCATCCGTCTAGGCATTCCTTTGCAAGAATACCCTCGCCCTGCTCATGGACCCAGAATCGGGTCGGGAATAGTCGGCGAAGGCTTAGGGCAATCAGGCCCAGGCCCAGGTAATGACGGGCTAGCTGTACAAGAAGACGAAGGGATAGCCAAAGGGGTTGGGGATGTAGCAGAAGAGCCGGTTGATACACCGCTGCCCGGCAATCCGTCGTTTGGTGAATCAGGACTGCCTGAGGTGCCACCCTCATTTGGAGAGCCGGGGCCCGGAATATTGCTGTCTTGACCAGGGGCTTGTGGCGGCAATTGAGCTCCAGATAGGCCGCCTGTACCGGATTGGGAAGCAGGCGGTTGGGACTACCACAGGCTGACCTAAATTCTG